GGGGAGGGAAAGAAAAACAAAAAAACCCCACCAGTACTGTTCCATAACAATCTGTTTCAGCCTCAGATCAGGAAGAGAAATAACACTTTGACACCATCCCTGGGTAAGTGGTGAGAAAAGAGTCCTGAAGAGGTCAAAGGACTGGTAACAGCAAACCTGGCTAAAAATGTTGAGCTCTCTGAAAAGCCCCTGGTGGCCTTACTCTTCTTTCCCTCCACATAACTCCTTTATCTTGCTGCTTGAAAGGAGCAAGAGAAGAAAAACAGGACCTCCCCAGTCATCCATTTCCTATTCCAACTGGGATGAACAAATATCCATGTTCACAAAGGGGCTTGTGCTAACCCTAAGCCTGTGCATAACAAAAGAGAAGAATCCTACAGAAGAGCCAAAGCTCATTTTAAGCCAGTTCCCAGAATACTAGGGGAAGAATGGCAAAGTCAGTCGTGGGGTTTTTGGTTGTAGCAGTGTTGGTCTAAGGTGTAGGCAGGCAAGGTTCTTTGAGTAGATGTGATTTCTTTTATGAGACCAGCTACGTAGTCCAACTACTCAGTTCATCTAATAAAAGCTATCACATCTAATCGAAGAACCTTGCCTTTCAAAATCAGTCATGATTCACATTCAAACAAGATAAAACCAAGCTTATCAACTAGCATCCACATAAGACTTCAGCTTAAAACTGGCCTGTTATACAAATTCTTAAATCAGGGGACTTCTACAAACAAGTTAAAAGCTGGAAAGATTAAACTATTTTTTAGAAGAGCTAAAAGACTGGCAATACTGAAAAACATGAGGTATAAAGATAGAAATGACTCTATCCTTCCAATTCAATGAGTTTCACAGAAGACACGCTTGCACAGTATGTGTCTTTTAACCAGCAATAAATTCAGCCATCACTTCTTCAACCATCCTCAGCACCCTCCTTCAGGAGAATCTCCTCAACTCTTCCTGAAACCAGTGACGTTGTGCTTGGGACCAGCGAGGAACAGAAGGGATGAACTGTGTTGCAGAGGAGGCAGGCTCCCAGTAACACGTCAACATGATGCAATCTCCAATAAACTATTCTTTCAGCAATATAGTTATGCAAGTCAACAGAACCTAGTGTACCACCTAGCGTATGACAAAAAGATACTAGTCATGTATTTTGTTAGCTTCACATATACCAAAGAAAATGCTGCTTTGAAAGAGATATTGCATCTCAGAAATTGTGCCCAATTACATCACATTTTGGCCACCCTAATATGTGCAGAATTGTTTCTTATGAGTGCTGTGTCCAATCTAGTTCCGCATGGTACCCTTCCCATCAAGATTATCACAGTCTACTGCAGCTCTGTTAGGAAAATAAATCCAGTGTTAGAAAGGAAATGTATGCCTACTGCAGCCACAATTAACAAGGCACCAGGTCATGCATACTACGGCCATATATAAGAAAGTGACTTGGGATAGTCTGGCACCTCTATATCCACAATTATCAGCATAATGGTATGTCATCTCCAAATGCTTCAGAATACGTGCAACTGTTTAGACCAGGGGCCAGCAATCTTTTACATAACATAGGCTGAAACAACACAGCTCCAGTCCAATATAGGCCAGGTGGCTTCAGCTGTGTGACAGTACTGGGGAGCCTTGCTCGTGCCCACACCAGGGCCACACAGTTGGGAGCTGTGCCCATGCTACCGCTGTGCTGGAACCAGGTACCTGGAAACTGTGCCCATGCTACCCCGCCCCAACCTGGGCTGCAGAGCAGCTCCCCACTGCCTGGAAGTTTTACCCATGCCATAGCTGGGGCAGGGGATGTGGTGTGGAAACTAGCAGCAGCAGCATGGACATAGGGCATCCTTACACATGCTTTGGGGGGCAGTAGTTAGAGCAGCTCTCGGGAACCACTAATTAAAACACTTACAGTGTCTCATGTATTCAGCAACCCATGCTTCAAAATGGCAGTAGGGATGCTTTAGTTAAAGTGCCCCCGCCACTGTTTTGAAACACGGGAACACTGAATACGAGACGCCAAGGCTGCTGGACCACTCCAATTAGAAAGCATCAGAACAGGCATCAGCATGTATAGGTGACCATACTTTGCAGATGCCTGGCCCCGCCAAAACTCCCCACCAGCTGGAAGCAGTACCCATGCCACAGCTGAGGAAGCATTGGTTGTGTGGACACTGCTCCCAGCTGCCAGGTACCAGCACAGGGAAAAAAACCCTCCCTTCTCCTCCCCCTGCTGACAGGCTGCTCAAACTACCCAACCTGTATCAGACCAGAGCTGGGAGGGCTGCTGGAAGTGGCAGGGCCCAGCCCCTCTCTTCCTGATGCCACCATGGGCAAAGGCAAAGCCCTCCAGCTTCACAGGCCAAATTCGGCATTGCCAACTCCTGGCTTAGACTAATTATTCTGACCACAATTAGTTTGCTTCCTGTAGCAGAAGTATCCAGAAGATACAATACAAAGTTTTGACATAATCAGACACTACAGGTTACAATGTTCCAGCTTAATATTATATTGTCCATCAGCCAGCTGAAGCACATTTCCATTATAGATTTCTTATTAAACACAATTTTGAAACGCATTTCAAATGCAGCACTGGAGAAGTCCACAGATTTACTCTTGGCTGCAAGGTTCACACAGGGTTCCTTCTACTCTGCACATCACCACCAATAAGAAAGATCAAATCCTGCCCTCAAAGACACCAGTAAAACATCCGTTTTCCAACTGCGCCATTACAGACACCTGCACAACTCCATCAGCCCTAAGCGTAATTACACAGGTGTCACAAAGGATACAAATCTGAAAGCAAATTGTCTGTATAAGTACAGGTGGGGAATATAATCTGCCTTGAAAACCCTATTACTGGTGCCAATGCAGGAAATGTTTTTTTAAAAAGTGATTGTCAGAGACCTAGGCAAACTTCCAAATAAAAACCCCAAGCAAAAAAGGAGAAAAAAAAAAAAGCTTTTTTTTTTTTTTTTTAACTTGAAAAAGTCAGTGAGAGTTGAATAAAGTCGCTGTTTAGGACCAAGGCAGCTGTTTCAACTTTCAGGAACTTGTCTTCTACTAGTGGCTCCCAAAAGACTGGGAAAGCAAAGCACTTGCTGCCACCCTGACAGAACTCTTGATACATGTAGTTTTCCAGTGTGACTAAGACATGGTATGTATGTATTTATTTATTTTAAAGCAGCTGTTGGTTTTAAGAAGACAGGGCCTCCACTCACTTTTGAGCCTGGTGTCTTCATTACAGAAGGTACCTGGGGAAGGGCTCGATCTGGGGCTTTATTCTTTGCCACATTAACTGTCCCCCATCTTCACCGCCCCCTTAGAAGCCTGGTCCCCGCTGCCCCAATCCTGGGGCGAGGCCAAGCCCAGTGCATTTCTCCACAAGGCAGCAGGGCACCTCCCAGGTGAGCTTGTCTATGCCAAGAATGGGCTGGGCCCAACTCTGGCTGGCACTGCCCACTCTGCAGATTCCCCCTTCTCCTCCTTGGCTCCTAGTGCCCCAAGTCCCCTTAGCCCTGCTCCCCTCACCCCCTAGCACAGTGGTTCTCAACCCTTTCCTGCACCAGAACTCATTTGTTAACATCAACGGCCAGTCCCAACCCAGTGTTCCCTACCCACAGCATCCATGGGGGAAAGGCGGGGGGAAGCAGCCCCTGGCAGGCTGGAACGGTGCCAGCCTAAAAGGGAAAAGTCTCACGTTTCTCTCCTTCTCAAGGGGAATCCGTTTTCAAAGTACGTGCACCACGCTTTCATATATTCTTGCGACCCACTCTTGGGGCGGAAACCCACGGGTTGAGGAGACACGCTGCCCTAGCACATAGCAGCTGGGTCCCAGCACAGCTCTGGGCGGCGCGGGGCAGGAGCCAGATGGCAGTTCGCGACGCGCGCCCCAGCCTCTGCCCCTCGCGCCCTTCATCGCCCCTGCTTCCCTGGCCCCAGCCCCAAGCCGGGGTTTGCCTGGGGGTAGGAAGCCCCCAACCTGCAGACTGGGCAGCATCCCCACGTGGGCTTGCCTCCCCCCCCCCCCCCCCCCCCCCCGCCCCGCCACTAAGGACACGTGGAGAGCGCAGAGAAGGCCCGCCGCGTGCGCCCTGCGGGGGCCTGGGCATGCGCAGAAGCGCGAGATGACGCCACTGAGGGCTTTGCCCTGTGGCGGGGGGGGGGATGTGTTCCG